GAAGAGCTTCCTGGGTGGTCTGCCCAGTGGTTATGGAGAGTTTGGGAACCTGCTATTCCCCCACAACTAGCTCTTAACCAGACTTATAGCATTAAAGGCCAGATAATGGTACTGAACTAGGTATTACACAAGTCCTTAAATGTCATGAGTGATGCCAGGAAAATTCATCCAAGAGCCATATTGGCACATAACTACCTATGAAGGTCAACTTTCCCTGTATAATTTAAGTTTTGATCTCTGTCTCTATAAAAATCTTTGCAATAAATAAAATTCTCTTAGTAAATTGTTGACAGTTTTATGCCTTCACAAATACTCCATATTAACAGTTATATTTACATTTATTTATAACCATAAATGCAGGCATCATGTTTCAGAAATATTAGCCTAGCTACAAATTTTATTTCACAGCTCTATTAATAAACAAAGAAACATTACTCTGAATAGACAACAGAAACTGACCATTTCTCTCCATGTCCATTGTTAATACTCTGGTTTGAGCCATGGTCATCCCCCCTTTGGATTGCTTTTGTCCCCTACAGTCTACTCTCAAGATAGCAGCCATAGTGATCCTTTTAAAAATGTAAGTCAGGGTGGGGTATGGTGGCCCATGCCTATAATCCCAGCACTTTGAGAGGCTGAGCTGGGAGGATTGCTTGAGCACAAGAGTTTGAGACCAGCCTGGGCAATATAGTGAGACCCTCTCTCTTAAAAAAAAAAAAGTCAGATCCTTTTACTACTCTGTTTCAAACACTGCACTGATTCCCCATTTCACTGTCCACCCCTTATCCCTCTGATTTCATATTATTTACTCTCGTCACTCTGCCCCAGTCACACTAGCTTCCTTACAGTTCCTGGAACATATGGGACACATTTCTGTTTAGCTTCTTTGCTCTAGCAGCTCCCTCTGCTTGCAATGCTCTTTTCCCAGCTAACTCTCTAATCCTCTGAATTTTTGCTCAAATCTTTCCCTTTTTTGAGGCTTATCCTGATCACTCATTTCATATGCTGACCATCATTCTCATCCTACTCTCTGCTCCCAGGCCTATGTCCCCTGCCCTGCCTATTTTTTTCTCCTTTTTGCACTTTTCACCTTCTAACCTATTCACAGGTGCATTTACCATGAAGCTAATGAAACTTAAGCTTCAGGAACCCTTCCCTGCTTTGTTTCTGCTATTGTAAAATTAGGGATATGTTTAGTTTGGGCATAGTGGAATGTAATTCATGTTTTGCAGTCACTTCTCTATATAGTTCAGTTAGTGCTAGCCATTTTGGTATAGGAAGAGCTTCCAGGAAGACAGTTACTGTCTGCTGGCCATATAGTATATTGCTTTCTGTGTACTAGATTGCCTGACACCAAAAGTATGTGAGTGGGTGGTGGAAGAGAAACATGGAGTGAAATGAACGGAGTCAACTAATTTGTAGAAAATTCTTCTACATTTTACAGCTCATATTTTAAAGAAACCTGATTGAGGATTTCCAAATTTGGAATCAATCCTAAAATTTTTTATGAAATGACCAATAAAGTTGTAAAGTCAAAAGAAACTTTTCTAATCAATAATAATTTTTTTTTTGATTAACCATGCAAGAGGAAGATCGAATTATCTTTCTTTTCTCTTTATAGAAAATGTTTTCTCTTTATAGGAAATGTTACAGAATTACCATATGAAGAGGTGATGAAAGACAATGCAGTAAAAACAATGTGCTTTTAATAAAAAATTATACCTTGGATAGTTAATGAAAATATTTTCTGACTTTTTCTGAATTTTTAATATTTTTGCTATATGTGAGCTTTTTATTTTATTTTTATTTTATTTTTTTTTTTTTTTTGAGACAGAGTCTCGCTTTGTTGCCCAGGCTAGAGTGAGTGCCGTGGCGTTAGCCTAGCTCACAGCAACCTCAAACTCCTGGACTCAAGCCATCCTTCTGCCTCAGCCTCCCAAGTAGCTGGGACTCCAGGCATGCGCCACCATGCCCGGCTAATTTTTTTTCTATATATATTAGTTGGCCAATTAATTTGTTTCTATGTGTAGTAGAGACAGAGTCTCGCTCTTGCTCAGGCTGGTTTCGAACTCCTGACCTCGAGCAATCCACCCGCCTCGGCCTCCCAGAGTGCTAGGATTACAGGCGTGAGCCACCGCGCCCGGCCAGCTTTTTAAAACGTATAAGTTGTGATTTCTTTTTCTTATTCTAAATGAGCATTTCATATCTATTTTATATTTGTAGTGTTACACTCTTTTTGTTAAAGAAGGCTCACCAAATTGTATACACTTCAGGTTTCACAAGATCTAGTGTACCTGAACATACTACGTGATTTACTCACTTGTTCTGTTCTGTTTATTATTTATTATCTGCCCCTCTCTCTAATCCAGCAGAGGGTAAGCACCTTAAGAGCTTATGCATTTTAAACACCTGAATGGTGCTTGGCATATGGCAGGCACTAAATAAAAATTTTCTGAGTGATTGAATTTATTAATTACCAACAATACAATGAAGCTTTGGTATCAATCTAATTTAATTTAGTTTTATAAAAGTCAATATTGAAAAGAAGAAAAGTGAAAAGACTGTAGTACATGGAAAACACTGCCCCTTGAAATTTTGTACTTTGTGTAACTAAGGGCACTGAAGTAAATTCTTATTCCTAACTCTTTCTTCAGTGGTCATTAGCTGCCATGTTTTTCAGGAGGATCTGTATCGTTATTTTTTAGGTTCTTTTACATGACTCCTTGGGACCCAAGGCTAACCTCTGCTGGCTTTTTGTATCATCCCACTCCAAGGCTGAGAATTTAATTTTAGAGCTGTGGGGAGGTAAGGCCATACAGAGAGCCACTGGGAAACCAATACAGCAGCCAAATTTTCTTAAGCCAAGGATCAGGCAGTAGGAAAATAAAGGTAGACTATTTTTTATTTTCTTGTGCCTAGTCAATCATAGAAATTCTATGTTTAGAGAGCTATCATTGTTTAAACATTGGACATTAGAAATTTAAAAACTCATCATGCAAAGGAGGAAGAAATATATATAGCAATTGCATTTTTTAAAAAAATAGACATATTAATAGGGAGATTAAAAATTAGAGCTGGAAAACAAACAAACAAACAAACAAACAAAAAATTAGAGCTGGGCCTTAAGAAAAACAGAATTTCATAGGATTTTCATTTGGAGAATTTTTATTTTTGTGGACACACAGCAAAAACATATTATATGAATGACTAGTGGAGGGCAAGCCTCCTTTTACTTAAACAGCTAAAATTCTACTTGTCCACTAAAATATCTCTTTTTATGCTCTTGTGGGATTTTTGGAGGTCACAGACAATTTTTATTTATTTATTTATTTTTGAGAACACTTTTCTGGACATAGAAGGAAAATCTTATTATCAGTAGTGAAGACAGCAGTGAGCTAATGAAGGTGTTAGGTGTTGACCAAGACCTCTCTGCTTTTTCAGTTTGGCAGTTAGCACTTGCACTGCTATTTTCTAGAATATAATTTGCTGCACTCTGACTTCATGTCTAGCAAGTCTCGACAAAGGAACATCAATAAGTTCTCCAAACTGAGCTTTTGTCAACACTAACCTTGCAGAATACAGGCTACCTAGGATTGTGACCTTCATTACTAAATTTCTCTGTTGTATTGTTCAAGATTAAGACACCCAAGAAATTATCGGGACAGTAAGATTTTCCCTCCCTCATTATTTCCCATAAATTTGCAGGCAAAAGTTGAGTGTACAAGGTTTCTTACAAAAGTAGTGAGATTTCTTACTCAGAATTCTGTATCTTTACTAAGAAAAGTGGTTAAAAAATAATCTCAATTTGGATAAGATACCAGAGGATGTGGAAAATTAATGCACTAAAGCTGAGAGCTATAGTGTCTCCACTGGACTATCAGTAGCTCAATGAAAATCACTGAGTGGGATGAAAGCTACAATTCTTAATATTATTATTCTCTTTAAAAAAATCTTTTTTGCCTAAAGGCTAAGGAAGTGTTATTAAAACACATTACTTATAAAACCAGGTTAAGAATAATTAAATAAATTTCAAACTGTCTCAAAAATAAAAGAGATAGTTTTCTTTATTTTTAAATAAGTTATTCTCTCAAATAATCTCTGCAAATAGCATTAGAAGTAAATAAAATGGCTATGCTGATGTGATGGGCATATCAGAAAGGGAAGAAAAGAACTTTTGAGGAAAAAAATAAAAAGCAAGCGTTTAAATTATTCATCAGGCCTCTGTTTCAGCCTGCTTCTTTCTTGCCTGGTGAATGACACACCCCACATGGATCCTCAATGTGGTTGGAGGGGTGGTGTTCACTCTAGTGAAGCCGTCCTGTCGGGACTGGTTTATTCGGATCCTTTTGACCAGAACGTTTGCCAGCATTTTTTTTCCCCAGTGAGTGTTGCATAATGCAGTGTTATGAATTTTATCTCTGTTCTCAACCACTTGTTGGATATGTGCACTTAAAATGGATGACTTTCATCTCACTGTTATGCAATAAACCTGTCAGGTTGAATTTCCTTTTGGTGAGCCAAAAGCTGAGCTGAACACTGTTATATTTTAAATATACACCAAATATTCCTCATATTATTTATAGGTTTTTAGTTTTTCAAGAAGAATGAAATGAGCTAGCTAATTAGTGGCTTCTTGACTTTTTTTTTTTTTGATACTTGCTCATTTAAGCATCTGCTGTGGTCAGTGATTCTTCCTTTAATGTCCACATTTTCTTCCAGTTTAAGATTGTAGGGTGTTGCCAGTCAAATTAGACACTGAAACCAAAAGGAGAAACAGGAGCCTTTCTTTATGCTATTCTGTTAGTACTGTTGATTTCCATTGCCAGTTACTTGCACATGCTCATACAGTTGGTCTTTGCTGTGCATAGTTCCCATATGCACAGCTTTCAGTTGACACGGTACCATGCAAAGCAAGGACTGCATAAATTTGTGTATGTTTGAATATTTGTATATCTGTGAGCATGTATTTATTTTTATGTTTGAATGTGTCTATTTTTTAGGTGTTTGAAAATGGTACAAACACTGGAGAGATCTCTGTTCATATCAGTAAAAAAGATTTGAGGTCTAATAGCCCAGCTCAAACTGACGATATGATGGAAAGAGTGAGTTTACTGATAATTTGCTTATAGTTATAAATGTCTATCACGTTACTGGTAGTTAATTTAGACAGTTACACCTTAAAGTTGTTTACAAAAGATCAGTCATTTGCTGATCTGTAAAGGCTAATAGTCCAAAGATTGACTTCTGAATTTTTTAGGCTCTCAGCTTTAATATAATATTAACTCCTGGACCCCTACCTTACACTATCTTAACCTTCATTATGCTTATATTTGGAAATTTGTCTACACTGGGTCCTGGTTTTGATACATTAGGATTTCTCTCTTGTTTTCACTTTAAAAAGAAGTGATATGATATTCAATGAGGGTATGCTCTGGATCTAGGGTATTTGTAAGCTGTAGACCCTCAGTGACTGACATGTAGCCTTGGTCTTCTCCCACGCTCACTGTGAGCAAATCCAGCTGGCTTATCTTAGGCACTTTTACCTTTTCCTATTTTCCAGACAATTGGGATGTTTCTCAGGCAGAACCAACATGTTCAGGGTCTTTATTTGGGGTCTTTGTCTTGCATAAAAGGACACTGAACACCCTGTTGTTTACAAATTGGGGTTATGCGCCCGAGCGCACACCAATGTTTTGGGCTCTGCTGCTTTGTCTTTGTTCAGAAACTGGCTCCTTTTTCCCCCCTTCAGTTCAGCACCCATAGACTTACCTCTCCTCGTGGTATCCATTACCTGGCTTTTATAGCCAATCAAAAAAGTTGTGTATGAATTGGGAGGCTCTCATTGGATCAATTAGCTATACCCAGAAGAGATGAGGAAATGCTACTTTGATTATAGAGAAGGATCCATAGCCTTGGCTGATTTCGTTTTAACAACACATCCCTGATTATATAATACAAATCACCATAATACAAAAACCTTCCTAGAATTCTTCACCTGTCTTCCCTCTTTTTTATATCAGAATATTTTACTCTTTGGTTCATGTTAAAATTGAAGATGATGTTTATAATATGTTATACAAGAAGATGCTATTTTATAGAAACTTTTTATATTGACTTATAGTAGACTGGAATTGAACTATGCTTTGCTTCTATATGCAAGTAAATCTCCAGGGAAAGCTTTGATTAGGAGCATTATAAAACATTTTGGGGAGAGCTCTTGTGACACTTAAAGACAACTGCTCCCTTGTATGGACACTTGTTTCAATCACTAGCCTGAGATGTTTCACACTCTTCTCAAGTCCCTGAACAAATTCTTATCCTATAAAGGCTCAGTGATGATAGCTTTACAGATAAATGGGTGAAGATTATCACAATTTTTGGTTGCCACAGCAAAGCCCTAACCAATGACCTAAAGATGAAAGGTTTGGGCCCTTACCTCCTGTAGGCTGTTGAATGCTCATATTTGAACACCTAAAATGCAGTCTGTCACGAAGTTGAGAAAATAGAGATTGCAATGCAACTCCTGTGAAAATGAATTTGGTTAAGTGGTCAGGTGCTCACATTCTATGTCTACCTCACATCCCTGTCCTTAGTGCACACATTTCTTGACCCAGATCAGACCTTAAATCTTTTGTGTCTTTCCCCTTTACAAAAAAGTGATGCCTGTAAAGCAAAATCCCTGTGATTTAAAAAATCATCAGCATTATATGTTTTCTGAAAGAATAGCAAAACAACAAAAATAAGCTCAGGGCTGAGATACACAGAAATAAATATAGGGCTTTAGAAATATAATCCACAGATTTCAAAACATGTTTGTAGTTTCAATGAAAAAATAGAAACAAAACAACACAAACTTTTACTATTCTAGCATCTTTGCCTATTATACACCCCAAAAGGATAATAATCATAATTTTTAATTCAAAGGATTCAGCTATGCTGGATGAGAAGTATTAACTTAACGAAATGAAAACACATGTCAACATTTTCAGCCTTTCTGATGTTTAAGACCAAAAATCTGTTCAATGAGCTGATGAAAACACTGATGTTGGAGATACTATTATTTATGTCTAATTAGGACAAAGCCTGATTGCTAGGCATTCTATAAATATAATTGCTGGTCAAAGGAAATATTTTACTCAGTCAAGAGTCTATAGCCAATCAGTGAGACACCTAAGATATGTGGTAGGCCTGGAACTTTTCCTCCTTTCCTCTGAGCCTTGTCAGTTAGCACTTCTCAATATACCTTCAATGGGAATTAATATAGCAGCAAAAAAAAAAAGAAAAAAGAAAAGAAAAAAAAGGACCCTGAACCACAGCTAGGCAAGAAAATACCACAACTATATCCACATCCCTGCAGGGATTACAGAGTAACAAGAAATTGAGAGACACATGAACTGACAAGGGAGAGATGAAAAGGAAGCTCGTGACAGAAGGCTGGGGGAAGAACAGAGTGACGGATGGGTGGGGTACAGAGCAGGAAAGAGCAGAGGCCGAAACACTGAAACAAAGGTGATGGAGGATAATGAAAAATGCCTCTTAAAATAGCATATGCAGCACAGTTCTGTTACATTTACTTTAGATTTGAAATATGCCCTAAATTAGAAATATCTTGATAATTTAGAGACTCTAAATGTAAGATAGAAGCAAACACTGACAATGTTATTATTTAAAATATTAAATGACAGCTTTTTGTACTTTACACTTCAATGCTGTCTTATTCACAACTTGAAAACATCTATTATTGACGATGCTCACAGCTTTTATGCAGGGCTCATAATTAAAATGCATCCAGGAAGAGTTCTATGTGAGCCAACTCAGGCTGAAAGTCATATTTATTTTTGCAATCCTATAAATGGTGAGTTGCTCTACCATTAGTTACCTGAGGTTAGTTAGGGACAGGGAGATTGGCGATTGTAAAACTTGAACAGGGTCTGAAAGGCCCCTAGCAAAATGTGTAGCTCAGACAAGAAAAGCATAACCCTTATCAAAGAGGACTGTTACCGTGTGTAGAAGCTAAATGCTCTTTCTATAAGACTGTCACATCTGCTTTCAGTCCCCTTGCCAAAGGGTCAGAGCTCAATCACAAGCCTGTGGCACCCCCTGCTGGTTAAAAGCCCATGCTCATTTCGTTACTTACTGAGCTAAACATTGCTGTCATTTCACACTTCTTTTAACATTCTATATGAATTTAATTATCATTTGTTTGGACTTCATTTGTTACAGAGTGGAGACAGTTTATTACAGATGTTCACATTTTAGGTTATTTCTTTTTCTTCATCCCTTCCCTTACTCCCACCAGTTACTTCTGAGGATTCATCAAAGGCTTCAAGGTTCTTCCATCAACCCACTAGGCCTCAATTTTTCTTCAATCCAGCTTTTTGATGAGAATGGTCAACAAATTAAGAATCCACTTTTGCTGAAGAATGAGCAAAAAATTTGGGTTTCTTATGGTCAAGCATACAGGTAGGAATGAGGTGTTTATTATCTGTCCTCAATCTTTCCGGGGTGAGCTAATTTAAAAGGAGGGTTGAGAAGCCAAGTAGCACCCTTTATGAATTTTTTTGTTTTTTTTAAGTTTGAATTCCAATAAAATGTCAGGGGTGTTTTTGTGAGGCAGTATTGTTTATGGAATATGACATCTCTCTTTTTCTCTCTGAGTCTCCCTCTCTCTCTCTCTCTCTCTGACTTTCTGTCTTAATGCCTTGTCATAGTTCTTGAAGTCTGCCTGTCAGCACAGCAAGAGGGATTTGTTCATGTCTGAGTAGTCACCTTAATGATAGCAGATGGAAACGCCACGGGGGGCTCAAGCCCATCACACTGTCATTGTCGCACGCTGCCCTGACCTGCTTCCACTCCTCTATTTTTTTGGTCCCTTTTTAAAGGAGAAATGGATGGTAATTGAAAAGGATCTTAAGCAAGATTTATGAAGCTGTAGACAACATGATTCCCCACTATCTCTCTATGTTTTCACAAATAAAGTCTTAACCTTTTAAGCACCAATGACAGGACAGCTAAAGATAAATTGGTAAAGCTTGTAAGCCCTATCCTATCAAAGTTATGTTTCTCAAAAGCGCCTTACATTATCCCACAATAATTACTGGTTATTGCTGAGCATTGTGTAAATTTTTGTAGATTGGTAAATTCCTGCATAAAATTATCTTCATTTCTGAAGAAAGAAAAAGGCTGTGGAGAGCAGACACTGAGGAGCTGGGCCGTTGTGTTGAATATCTCAGAAATTTATGCATATTTTGACAGAACACATCCAGTTGAACTCTGAAACTGCTTGTCAGGAAACTTAAACACACTTTTCTGCCTATTTAAAATTTTTTTTCTTTTTTTTTTTTTTTATCTCATACTTATCTGCAGAACAGAATAAGGGAAAATAATTTTTCATATAGAGTATAATTGATCATATACTAATTATAATGAGAAATAGCATAAACAAACCTAAGTCTTAGCAAAGTAAGGGCTGATTAGATTTACTATATATTCAAATAGTCAAAATTTCAAATGCTGAAACAAATCTACTCAGACATTTATAAAGGAATTGGAAGAAGTTAGTAGAGTAAATCGTGGGATCCAGGTTACAAAATTTTATTTCATTTGTCCCAGTAGAGTAAAATTAAAATACTTAATGATTTTTTATGCTGTGTCATTTATAGAATTAAAAATATCTATAAGGAATGATTTTTTTCCATAGGAAAATTTAAAAATATAGTTCAATTATATTGTGAGTAGAATTGTTTTTATGATGATAAGAACAGTAATGAATTTTAAAGTGGCAAAAATTCTTAATAATTTAGCAAGGATAAATATTAAATTATTAGCAAAGCTAATAATTTATCTTTTTAGTTACAAGAAAAATTTATCTTTTTAGTTACAAGGCTTTAATAAAATGTGTCATTAAATATTCTTGATACCATTGTCACAATGAAAGTAATGGCTAATTTTGATATTTTTAATGATGTTTTCAATAATACAGCATTTTAATAAGATCAAACACTCATTTGTAACTAATTGGATCATATTTGTGGAATAATTGGTAAAAGGCCAAGAATCTGGATATTCTAAAATCAGTTAAGGATTGTAATTGGAGAAATTTACAAGTGCACACATTGTTTTGTATTTCATTGTTATTTTAACAGGATAATGTATTTTTTTTGGTTTTGAATCCAATATAAAGCATCAGGAAATCCTTATAGCATTTTGCTACCATTGGGACTTAAAAAAATGCTTATGTCTAATAAGTTATTGCCATCTAGTTTAAAATATAAATGTGTAATATGTATTAAGTAAATGGTATTCATTTTCAGGAAGTAAGTCTAATGTGCCTAATTTGTGTTGCTATGAGGGATTAGGCTACTCATTTGCAAAAAATGACTTTACCTGTATCTGCTTCTATTTTGAGTCTTTTAATTATTTTTCCCCAAAATTTTTATTTTGAAAAATTTCAAATCTACAGAAAATTGACAGAATAGTACAATGAGCCTCTGTATATTCTTTACTTACCTAGGTTCACCAATTTAAAGAGTTTGCCACATTTGTTTTACATCTCATATTTCCCATCTCTTTCTCTTCTCTCTCTCTCTCTCTCTCTTTCTCTCTCTCTCGGTTTGAAAGTAATTCCAGAAAATCATTAAAATTTCACTTCTAAATGCGTCAGATCACATAACTGAAGAACAAGACATTCTTCCATATCACCACATAATAATATCATACACAGTCAACAATAACATATCATTTAATATATAATCTATATTCAAGCTACCAAAAATGTGTTTTAGAGCTTTTTGTGATCCAGTACCCAAGTAAGCTTTCTGCATTGCATTTAGTTATTTTTTTTAGTTCTTTTTAATCTAGAATATTTCGTCCATCTTTTGTTTTGTTTTTTAGGAGTCCAGGCAGTTCTTATAGAATGTCCCACATGTTGGGTTTGTCTGAGAGTTTTCTCATGATTAGATTCAGTTTAAATATTTTTGGCAACAAGACAATACAGTGATGTGGTTGAGTCCTTTAATTCTGTAGCTAAATAATAAGTCTTTGTTACCAATTTAGAGAAAAATGGTTCATAGTTGAAATAGTGACCATTCTTTTTATTTAAGATCTGTTTTGAATTTGGTTTTCATTCCCAAATTCACCTAAAACAATGTGCCTAACAATATGTACTATGAAAATCAAATCAGCATAGCATGTAGTGAACTCATAAAAAATAGGTATTTATAGCCAAATATTAAAGATTCATTTAATTATCATTTCCCAAGATTATTATGGATGTATCAAATTGCAGTTATACGTGAAAAAAATGAATATTATATGAATTATTGTTTTTCTCAATGAAATAATTTGCTTTTATTATTGTAATTATTTAAGAAAAATCACGTGTTGGCAACTATTCTTGGCATATAATAGATCAGCTAAATAAACTGAAATGTACATTTCAGGTGTTAATATAGGATATCAACAATAGCATTATATAATATGAATTTCACTTATTTCTGGATTTTATTAGACACTGATATTGTATATTTTATTATTTGTGTTCAAATTTCAGTATATGTGTAATTTTTGCAAATAGCTTTGATTTTTTTTCTATTTTTCAGGTCTCCACTAAACCCTGTTTTGGGGTTGACCTTTGACCAAGTGACTGCATTTGCCAGAGGTGGCATCATAGTTGCATATAAGACCTTTTTGGATCCTAATGCTGTTCTGCTACCTGGATGTGACAAGTAAATTAACAAGTTTTCAGTTAAAGTAATCCGAATCACCTAATTCAGTATTTCTCAGAGTGAGAGATTTGAAACACTGAACAGCATTATTTGAATAGTCTTAAATAAGCAATTATTTATTTTGACTTATTTCATGATATAATGAGATACTGCCTAAAAGACTTACCATTAACTTTCTTTAGTTTTAAAAAAAAGTGTATGGGACAATGAACAGAATATAATTTTAGCTTTGTAGAACTAAAAATTTTGTTTGAAATTTCAAAGCTTTTTTTAGTGGTTATTTCTAAATTAATCATTTTAAATAAAGCCATTAAAATATAAAATAATATGTTCTCTGTATGATTATTCATATTTAAACATTTTATGTGATGATGATAAAGTTAAAACAAGCAATGTGCTGGAGGCTTGGTGGGATGCTGAAAAGAAGACTAGACCAGGAATTAGAAGATCTTGCAAGGCATCTCTCATCTCTCATCATCACCTCATCTCTGCTCATGATTGTCCAAGAGCAGATTTCTTGTCTGTAAATAATAAAAACTGGTATTTACTGAGTGTTGACCATAGGTCAGGCACAGTTATAATGAACTGTGTAAGAATTGATTTAATCCTCAAAACAATTATTTTAATCCCATTATTCCCTATTACTCTATTATTATTCCTTTTTTAAAAATTCAAAGTATTAATATTACAGGGGTACAAATATTTATGGTTTCATGAATCACTTTTATAATGCTTGAGTGATGATTATAAGTGTGCCCATCCCCCAGATAGTGTTCATTGTACCTGTTAAGTTGATTATCGCCCATTCCCTTCTCTCCTCTTCCCCTTGTTTGATTTCTGTTGAGTTTTACTTCTCTGTATGCACATTGGTTAGTTCCAATTTAATAGCGAGTACATGTGGTGTTTGTTTTTGATTCTTTAGATACTTCACTTAAGATAATGGTCTCCAGTTCCATCCAAATTGTTGCAAAAGGCATTAAGTAATCCTTCTTCATGGCTAGTACTTCATGGTATACATATACCACATTTTACTAATCCGTTCATGAATTGATGGGCACTTGGGTTGATTCCACATCTTTGAAATTATGAATTGTGCTGCAATAAACATTTGAAATCATTTTGGTAAAATGACTTATTTTCCTTTGGGTAAATACCCAGTAGTGGGATTGCTGGATCAAATTTTTCAAAGACAGAAACCAAGGCATAAAACGGTGAAGTAATTTGCCCAAAGTCAACAGCTGGTATGTGATAGAGCCAGGATTCTAACTTAGATTATCTGTTTTAAGGATCTGAGTGCTTAACTAGTATCTAGCACTATCCAATAAAACTTTCTATGATGAGGTGTATTGAGTTCAGGTAGTCCTTAATTTTATTTCACCAGGTGCAATAAATACTGTTTTCTGTAAGTATAACAATGTGAAGCTGTCCTTATTGAATGCAAACTAATTTTATTAAATAATTTACTTAATTTTTGCACTCTCTTTGAATTTTCTTCCGATGCTCTGAAGTGGATCATTTGAAATATTTTTTTATTTATTTTTTTTGAGAAAGAGTCTCCCTCTATCACCCTAGGTAGAGTGCAGTGGCATCATCATAGCTCACTGTAACCTCAAACTCCTGGACTCAAGCAATCCTCCTGTCTCAGCCTCCTGTGTAGTTGGGACTACAGGCCATACCATCACGCCTGGCTAATTTTTCTTTTTATTAGAGATGGGGTCTCACCCTTGCTCAGGCTGGTCTTCTGAGCTTAATCCTCCTTTCTCAGCATCCCAGAGTGTTAGGATTACAGGTGTCAGCCACTACGCCCAGCCAAACAAATCATAACTGAAATCTTAATATATCTCTTATTTGTATTTCTCAGAGTATTGATAAAAATCGCTATTACCAGTCCCAGGATTGGTTTCTGTTGAATAGCATGCTGTATGGTATGTCCTAACTTATCCATGTTAAGCCAGGTAATGTTTTTAAGATGAGGGTTGGGTCCCTTTTAAAATAAATGAATTGGCTGAATTAAGAATGAAACCCAGCCTCTCCAGTTTGTCCATGTACCAGTGGGACTGTGATGCCTCCTAAGGCTCTCTTAAAAATCAGACTAGCATTTTTAACACAACCATTATAAGTATAAAAACATCCTCTATTATTCATAGTCTAGTATATTTAAAATACAAATTTAACAACCAAGGTGGTATCCACTACAAGTGATTCTGTAAGATTGAAAAGCATTGTTTTTTTGTTCTATTAATAATTAGGCATGGAATTCCCCAATATCATAAATAATTGCAGGGTAAAATTTTAAAGCCTTTCATTTTCCTTATACATACCAAGGCACTTTACAAATTTCTATTTAAAAAGATTGTGAACTATACATTGGTTTTTTTCTCTCACTAATAGAGTATAAGATGTATAAATTGTTATACTAGTAAAGGGCACTATAATTAAATGCATATTAGTCTTAGAAAAATAATTAAATGTTTTACTTTTCTTAGTTGGGAAATTTGTGAAGGATTTCCAATTAATTTTAACTACACCAGTCAACAGATACCTGAGCAGTTTGAAAAGGTGGACTTGGAGAATCATTTTTTACAGAACAAGGTCAGATTTTATTTGTTATATTTAATAAGGTGCATTTTATTTATTGGACACTCAGTCAATATATGGTGACTGAGTAGGTATTTTTGAAAGCTTTTTTTAAAACTATAAATTACTTTTACAAGTGTTGGGGCAAGAATTATTCTTTACTTCCTGTTAATTAAGCACTTCAAAACTGAAGCAATATATAACATTCCTACTTGAAAAATTTCTACCTGAATTATGTAACTTAAGTTCTATTGTTTGGCATATTTTCTTTGTATCAACTATATTAACAAGTTGGAGTTGTTTAAGAAAGTCTTTAAGATGGCTGTTTTCTCTCTGTAGTTTAGTATCTGATCTGTTTGCTCTAAGGTCAATGTATCGAAGGAACATGAGTTCTTTAGAAAATCCAACTCATGGTAACCCAATCCAGGAAGTTTATTTATCAGTTTATACTTAGAAATTTATCCTTCCAGTGAATAGTCTTTTTTCCCCTCCAGCTGAACTGTTAAAGGCATTTTAAACATGTTGCCAAAGAAGAAATAATTCTTTTGTTTTTCTTAGCTGGCAAACTCTGTGTAAGGTTGTTCATTTCAGCTGCATAAGCTTTAGTTTTTGAGCAAATTAAATCAAAACCAAAAGGCATCTACAGAGTTAGATATGCCCACAGAAAGTAAGACTTTCTATCAACCAACCCCTTTATTTCCAAGATACAATGCAAAAGACACATTGCCCCAACTTTCTCTTTTTAAATTTCTCAATGCTACCCATTCAGTGACTTTATTAATCAAAATTTATGAAATATTGAAAATATTCTGAAAATATTGGTTGTTTTAAGGAATATACAAATATAATACTGTAATTATAAAAATAGAATCAAATAAATATTTCTAATCCTGTCCATTTTTGTGCAAATTTGGAAAATATAAGTAAGTGGAATGGTACACTAATTAATGCCTTTTATATTTTACATTTATATGGCATTAAAATTTATTTACCATAGGTCTGATCCTGTTGTTAGGTTTTTGTGGTGGTGTTATTATCCTGCTTAAAAAATTTGTATGCCTAGCTATTACCTACTGAAGTTCCAAATTCTCATCTGGCCTTCATTGATCTCCATGATTCTCCTCCAACCTACCCCACTCTCAATTTACCCTTCAAATCTTCTTCTCTTCTTGATCCTCTCTGTACCCTGTATTATAGTCAGAGTTAATAAATTATGTGCCAAAACATGCTTTTCACTTTGGTATAATTGTGCCATGGCTTGTGTTGCTGTTTGCCTGGGATATACCCCCAACCATTACCATTCCTTGCCTCTTAAGGCTTTATTCAACTTCCTGTTTTTTGAGGAAGCCTTCTCAGATCCTCCAGAGACAATTAATCTCAAATTATTTTGTGTTCTCAGAACTCCTTTTTCCCTTTGAAAATTGTTCTTAGAGTTTGTGTTTTGGTATAGCATTTGCTTTAGTGTCTTACTCTTCCACTAACCTGGAATTCTTTGGGCACAGATATTATGTCTTACTCATCTTTGTATTCTTAAGTGCTAGCACAAAGTCTTGAATGTAGGGCAAGAGCACGATATGTTTTTGATGAATGGATTTTTTGTTTGTTTGTTTGTTTAGCCATAACCTGTCTTTCAAGGCTGACTATTCTGTAGTATGTTCTTTGTGTGTTAGCCAAGCCAGATCATTCATTTGTTGTTTCCATGCTTTATGTTATTATGCCCACGAGGATTCCTCTGCCTGGAATTCAACCTTTCTTTCTTTGTCACCACCCCAGCCTTCTCTGTCACCCTAGTGCCATACCCTAACACAGAGTCTGATATATAGTTGTCAGTCAGTAAATGCTGTTGAAATCCTGCCCATGATTCTAGTTCTATCTGACTAGGACTAGGACTGCTTCATGAAATCTTTCTTTCCCCAAACTCCATCCTCAAACCAGATGTGATATTTCTGGCCTTGATACCCCCCATTGCATCCCTTCTATGCCATTTACAATGACATTGAACTAGATGCTGTCCCTCTACAACTTTTTTTGCGCAGTCCAAAGTCAACCAGGCTCAAAGTTTGGACAACCAAGCTGGGGGTTATATTGGGTAGATGTGGGAGAATGGTAGATTCTACCATGGATGGTGAAATCAGATCATGAAGGGCCTTAATTCAATGTTAGAGATTCTGATTATTGTTCTGTAGAAAACAAGGAGCCATTGGAAATATTTGAGCAGAGGCAAGATCTGATCTGATCTTTATATTAGGAAGAGAACTCTGGAGATCCTTGTCTTATATTTCCTGCTAGACTAAAAATTCCTCAAGGGCAAAGTATATCCTGATAATCCTTTTCTATGCCACAACATCTAGATATTCAGAGTTAGCTAAACAGAATTGAGTTTACTAGTTAATGAACTCATTCAACAGAGACCAGCTAAAATCTGAAAAAATAATTGGATATCAAAGAGATATCAGGGAAAAGGAACCCAAAGGAGGCTTTTCTCTTTGCTTTTATATCAAACGGGGACTTTACAATGTAACTATATTTTCAAATGTTGAAAAATGAAAGAATAACTTTCCACAGTTGTTTTATCACTATTAATTGGTTTTAATGATTTAATGAAAATGAGAAAACACTCATCTTTAAAAAATGTTGGCACACTGTTATATTTTTGGAAGAAGAAATTGGTTTTGAATAAAATTTTAGTCTAACTAAAATAGTAGTATAAGAAAGCTAAAATTTGATAAATTGGCTAATAAAGAGAAGCTTTCAAAGACAAATGGCTTTCCCTTAGCTATGAAACCTTTAAAATCCTTTCAGAAAAATGTCTCCAATTATTTACAGAGAGGTGATCAGTACTTTGGGAATAGTAATTTAATAATCTGAAAAGGAGTACTTTTAAAAATGGATTCAGGCAGAGGTGACAGATATCTATAGGGCATTTTATTGTAGAATCTTGCTGCTCATTGAGGTAAAGAAGACACTAAGAGGATTACAACAGGGTTGAGAAAAGGGAGGCAAAAGCCGATATTCTTGATGCATACGTTTTAAAATTGGCTTGAGGTAGAGATATCAGTGCCCAACCCCTGACTGTTCTTTTAAATCTCTTATTGACAAGTAAAACCTTTCCTACAGAGAAAAATTTGGAACATATAATCCTCATTGGTAATGTGGGAGTCAGATATAACCCTGACAATTACAACCTGTTGCTCTTTTATCCATTTCAAAAACAGACTTAGAATCTACTATTTGGCATCTTTCAACAGCTCTCTATTGTTACTTAAATTGGCAACATTTTTAGATTGACTTAGTTTAAGGGCAGTAAAATTACATGTCTCCATGAAATAGATGAGATTTAAACTTCATGGTAGTTAATCTAAAAGAAAACATTTCATGAGAAGAATAGCTTGAGGAATGCCTGGTTATGGGAAAATATAGCAGATAAATGGACTCCAGTGTTTGGCAGGTCATGTATTCTGCCAAAATGAAAAGGAAACTTATTTTGATCCTTGGCATCACAGACATAAGCAGGACATTAATGACAACTTTCTGTATAGAAACAGCAAGAAAAATACCAAGTTACAATTTTAGAATTACTGCATACTAGTAACAAGGTAACTTGTAAATTCACAGGTATGAATGCTAGCAGAATGAATGCATAACTGCTGAAGTACTGTTTTATTCTGATATTATTATTTTTTCATCACAAAAGAGGCTAGGAAAAGTCAAACAAATACTTTCCTATTTCTTGACAGAGCAAGTCATTGAGAACTAGTATTGTCTATTAATCAGTTATATGCCGGGGTAAATACAAAATTTTAGTTTAAATTTTGAAGTGATTTCCATTAGCATATGATACAGGACTTGAAATAAAATCTGTTTCTTGTTTTCAGACCAATAACTAAGAGCTATTTGAGGACTGCACACTTAGATCTTAGATATTTTGCCTTGTTTGGTTACATAATTATGTCTTTGCTGATATTTTCTGCTTTCAAACTTTTCCATTTCTTGGCCTTAGTGGTGGGTGGACTGATTTACTATAAAGTTAGAGAGTGGAAACAATGAGAGGGAAGAACAAAGACATGAGGAAAGAGATTTACATAACATTTCCTATAGTGTGACTTTAATTTATATATAAAATTATTAAACTTGGCCCTAAATGCATTATCAAAAATGAAAATCTTATAAATATTATATGTAGTAAACAATTTATTCAGAATGAAGATTGTGATCTATGAGCTGCTTCTTTTAAGAAAAATTTCACTGTCTGTTGTTCTGTTCCTTAGTAGATCTGCAAGAGAAGACCATTAGTGGTTTTCTTCTTATTCTGAATTTGCACACAAATATTGACAGCTACTCCACCTTCGTTTGTCATTTGAGAAAAAAAATTAAACAAGAAGTTTTAACTGGCCCAGCATGTGTGTGCATCATTTTTAACATTTGGTGAAGAGCAAAGGGGTCCTTTGTCTCTGACAGCACAGTTTATTCAGACAAGCAAAATTATAATGGTCACTTAAGGGAGCCATGTATATAAGATTCAAATGAATAAAAGAGAATTTCTGTTTTGATTCTCAACAGGACTTAAAAAGGTTTTCTAATGACATATATGATAGTATGTATTTAGAAACAAGTCTCAGCCTAAATGCTTTTATATGCATGTGCCTGTGCACACCTGTACATGTACACAACACATATGCACACATACATATATATGATATATTATGTTACAGATTGTCAGATAACTTTTTTCTTAAGTCCACCTTTCACAGATTTTAACTTCCTACTTTCATAAATGTTTGAGCTAATGCTAAGCTATCAGATTAAATTAAAAAAGTGAAGTCACAGAAGAAAAATTTAATGGCCATTGTCAGTTTTAAGCATATAAGAACACCAGACTTGGCAGAAAATTTTTTTTTAATAACACAAAATGAAGCTTAGTTAGTGGGCCTGGCTGTGTCTGCTCTATGTAGAATCACTTGGGAACTGTCCAGCAAAATATCTCTTGAAGAACAGCATGGTGTTAATACTGGGTGCCAGCCCAAGTCAGAGACAAAGGACCCCTTCACTCTTCACCAATAAGCCAACTGTTAAAAGATTAAACCATGTTGTGGAGATAACAAGAATTTAGGCGCTGGCAGCAGGTGCTGTACAAAGAAGCAGTTGGCAATATGCTTCTTCTGTCTGACTAATTTCAGTCAAAACAATCTTCTGCCCAGTTGCAGAGGGGAGTTTTGAGTGTGATGGCAACTTGGAGTTAGGAGGTTGAGTAAGAGTGTTACTTTAAATGCTGAGTCCTGTGGTGGATGGATTAACAGAATATAGTTTATCATTGTTCTGAAACTGTGGGGGATTCCCCTCCAGAATTCAGTCACTACTGGCTAATGGGTGAAGTATACAATCAAAGCACTATAAGTCAACTCTGTTTATGTGGTGGGGTTGCTATATTTTTAAAATTTTCATTTTCACATACTGGAGTCATATAACATTTTCTTCTCTTGAGAAATAACTATATTACATTATAGAATAATTACCAAATGTGTTAGTTGTACCCTTACGTTATTGCCTGATCACACTTGTGATATATTGCCTTTTAAATCATCATTTAATTTATGTATTTATAAAAATAATTTGCTACTCAACAACTATCTACTATTAGCAAAGATACAGAATGGACATTTTGGTTTTAGAAAATAATTTGTTATTGAAGCAACAACATTTTGGGTTTAAAGCATAAATTGGCATATTCCTGTAATCATATATAAATAAATACTGGTACTTAAGTAATCACTTAGAGTGATTATTCAGGGAAAGTGATCATATAATTTAGGAGATAAAGTTTATTAAGTATGAAGTAATATAATTTCTACAAGTGAGGTGAGTGCCTGATAATTTGACAATCAAGCCTAAATGAGAAATACCAGAAGGTGCACAGTAACTTTGATGTATGTCATCTGATAAAGAGCATGTATTGTGTAATCTGATAAGGAATGCAGGAGAGACGTGGATGCCCATGTCTCCCCCTTCAGTCCCTCCTGCCCACAATTATCTCTACTCTCAGCTCATATCCTTTATTATTATGAGATAATCTTTATTCTTATGAGATTTTATAGATTCCCAACTGTTTTCCCTACCTTTGATGCCTCCATTCTACAATCCATTATCTCTAGCTTTGCCAGATCAACCTTACTCAAATTTGCTATAAGCTAGTCCCTCTTGCTTGAAAGTTTTCACTGGCTCTCTGCTGCCTACCTAACTTCATAGGCTTACACTTGACACTCTCTACAGTTTGGCCAAGTTTACTTTTTGAGTCTACCAACAAATCCTAAGACATGTTGATTTAACTTCCTTGCCTTTACTTGAGGTACCTTTTTATTCTTCATTATTCCTGTCAAACTGTTTCCATCCTTCAATGCCTAGTTCACATGTTACAACTTTTAAGATGCTCCGCTTTTTGTTTGCTTCAGCAGAAATGAGCCTACCATTTTTTGCCTGCCTATAATATAACACTATTTAATCATTCATCTGGAGCTTGACCAGAAAGAGAGAGAAAGAATGCAAGCATGCTATTGCCTCTACTCTATTGTATATTTCTTTAGGGTAGGAAAAATATTTTATAATATCCCATACCACACAATCTAGGATCTTGCATATTAGAGTTGGTGCTCAACAAATATTGATTGAATTGAATTAAAGGGGTTTGAGCACTCCTTTTGAAAATAGACCTCAATCAGAATATGTAATGTTCTAACATAACTTATTTTGGACAAGTGTGTTGAGGAAGGTTAACTTTCAGACTATGAATTAAAAATGCTTACTTCTTCTCATCATGTAGGTGGATCCCAATATTGTCCTTTCTGCCTCTGTTTCTATTGGAAAGCGGAATTTCTCAAATAGTGGAACAAGCAGTGGGACTCAGGTAGCGCTGTCGGTCCCATGGCCTGCAACCAGTGTGTGGCTGATCACGAAGGTACCTAAGAGTGTTTGCTCTTGCTGAGTGACTTCCCACTGTTAGCTGCTTCATGTGCATGAGAGCATGCACATGAGCATACACGTGAAATAGTTATAAATTGTTGGCTGTTATAAACACTTTCTCTGCTGCTGGTATTGGCTAGCTAGCCCACAGGACTTCTGTAGATCCCCAAGTGAGCATTCAATTCACTTTTAGACATCGTGATTGTTCATATCTCAGAATGTATTTAAACCAAGCATAGGGCTTATTTATAATCCACAGACTCATCATTTTCATGATATTTGTCTGAATGTAATTTACTTCCACTTCTTAGTCTTCATTGTTGGCCTTTACCATCTTGGCTTCACTGAACCTGGTGGATTACCACCATATAGTGACTTTGCATCTGATTTTAGAAAGGATGTAGTTTTAAAAGAAACCCCTGTATGTAAAATGTGAACAATGCCTACCACATTCTATAATACAATTGTATATTGGCAATATTTATTTTTTAAAACTTTGTAATTATATTATTGGATCTGATTTAAATGAGAACATAGAATTGCCCTTCCCTTCCCTTGTACTATTGAAATGTATTTTGTAATGTTTTGTTAATATGTCTTTATGTCTGGAAAGAATTGGTGCAGTTCATATCCACCCTTCTTGCACGTCCCTTTGCCCTCTCTTGATAGACTACTTTGCTGCTTCTTAACACTTCTGTGCATATGAAGTCACCCAGTCAAGTCAGCCCCGAGATTGAAACTATTTTCTTAAATGAAATTTTGAATTACTCTTAACTGTTGTTCTTTGATTTTCTGAAATTTAAAAACACACATATAAAATAATTAAGACCTAAAGGTAGTTAAGAGGTATTCATTTCATACACCAAAGCAGATTGAATTTAGATGAGATATTCCTGAAATCTGTTTCCAACCTAAAGACTCTATTAAACTATTAGCCCTTTCTCCGTTGTATTTTGTTTCTGAATTACTAATAATAACTCCATTTTGTTAAATATCTACTATGTCAGGCATTATGTTAGGCACCTAATTCATGTTTTTTATATCATTTAATCTTAAAAGAACTTGGCAGGATTTGTCATACAGCTGAAGAAACTGAGGTTAGTGGGTAGCAGAAGAAAGATTATTGGTGTGTCTGACTTCAAAACTCAAGCCTTTTAGCTATAATATAAAGCACTCCTTTATATTTGACCCATCTATGAACATGATGGAAGTGTTTTAGTCTTAGCATTGCCACTGCATAGCTGTATGACGACAGACAAGTCCCACGTGGTATCTGGGCCTTAGTCTTCTCATCTGTAAAGAGTTGGGCCAGTTAGTCCTTTCTTAGATCTCATATTCTGCAATTTCATGGTATCAGAAAACTGGTGCTTGTCTAAAATTTCTTCCAAAATAATTGAAACGCATACCAAAAGAGTACAGTTTTAGAGTTAATCAGAATCTCTCATGTGACCTTGTGAAAGTTCCTTGGCTGCACTGAACCACTGTTTTCTTATCTATAAAATGAAGATCCCTGCCTTACAAAATTTCTGTGAAGATGAAATGAGAAAACATGTGTGAATTTCAAGCAGAGTATCTGGTATACAGAAAGTGCTTAATAAATGGTGGCTGTCCTTCCTTATCCCAAGCAGTTCTTTTTTCTATATAGACAAGCATGTTCAAATAAAAGTTTCATTCAGTGCTTGTTGAAACCAAAATTTTTTAGAAAGATTTTTCCTAAGTCTTTGTAAGTTTCTTTTCTATACAGCAAGCCCATGAGAAATAAAAGTTACATGCTAAAAAGGAAGTAATTTTTTGCTTGATATTCTTCTGTGAAAGAAAATAAAAAAATTAAAAAAGGAAACAATTGTGAAAATCCTTTAAGATTGAACTCCCTCTTCCTCTTTTAAAAATAAATTCTACCTGCTAAGATAGAGAATTTTGCATGCCATATATAGATAAATTTCTCAGTGGTTGTTACTTATTTAAAATTTTGTATTGATTCACTAAGTTAGAAAATGGTTAAATGACCATCAAGCAATATGTCCAATTAATTTCCTTGGCAGAGAATCCTAACATTTACAACAAAAGAAGTTCACAAACCACCTTAAAATGTTTAACCCATGGTATTTAGACCCAGAGTAAAACTTTAAATTGGTACAAAGGTTAAGGATTTGTTTCAATCTTTTCAGTTCACTGCACTTTTTTTTTCTGTGCATACATATTTCAAGTAAGCTCTGTAGTTATAACTATAGCAAGTGACACGTGATGGACCCCAAATCGCTGCACTGTGAAATATGCACAGAAAAAAAAGGACAAATGAAGATATCAAGGTCTGTTTTATTTTGCGCTGAACTGTAAAATGCCACCCTTGTTGGACAGAAGATTACTGATTCTGAGCAGGGCTCGCTGACTGCTAAGTTGTGGGTAGTGTTTCACTTTCGGCAACTGTTAATATCCAGGGTTATCCAGGCATAATGACCTCACTATTTGTGACACATTGTTGAATTTTCTGGTTCTTTTAACTTATTTAGACCTTTCTCCCCCTTCTCTATTCATTGGAAGACTGGAATGATCCTGAGCAGAGCAATAACTCAGGGCTGCCTAGCCATTGGTCATCCAATCAGAGTCAAGACTGCTGAGGGAACATCACTAGAAGGATATAAATTAATACTACAGAAAAGGTAAATCTTGTGGGCTATTAATATTTAACTGAAGCTAATAAATATTAATTTCAAGAATTCTAAATAATCAAATTATGATGGCTCACTGTTTGGATGGGATATTCATTAGATGTTTAAATTTGTGTTCATAATATCAATATTAATTTTTAAATCTTAAATAAGCTTGAGAATATATGCTTCTTAGTTTGGTAGTATCTTTAAAATGTTTTAAAAAGTGAAATGTTGGACTTCTGTGAGTACCTATGTTGTAGACAAGGTGCTGCTTTATTCTATAATTATGAGAATTCTTTTCTTTATATCCATTTTGATTGCTAATTTAAAGTATTAAAATCTTCTATCTTCTGAATATGTAATATTGAATTATGAAAGAAAAATCACAAAGACAAAAAAATTAATGGCTTGTAAATGTCCATAAGTGTCCTCCATGTTAGTTTTTTCTAACATGGGAAAATACAGTTAAAAATAGAAAATAGATTTAAAAAATTAACAATGAGGAAGAAAGTTAATATATCTCCAATGGTTTGGAAATATTGTTTCGTAGATACTTTCTTCTTTTTCATTATTGATCTTTTGTTTTCACCTAGTGTTGACAAAAACAACTTCTATTGTACTTTAGGATTTAGAAAGCCAATGCCCAACTAATTCTGGCTGGATAGAAAATTAAGATGTGCTTAGGGATGAAACCAGAACTAGGGTACTTAAGCATCAGAGAAGCTAATCCAGCCATAAATACAGAAGGAAAATTTTCCCTAACATGCAAAGCACACTGTCAAACAGATATAAGACTATTGCATAATTATTTAGAGTATGATTTACAGATTCAGATTCCCTCTTTCTCTAACAACAACAAAAAACTTGTGACCCAGACACTATTCTAATTTCTTTATATTGCATTGTCAAATTTAATCCTCACAACAACATGATAAGGTAGGTGTCATTATTATCTTTACAGGTGAGGAAATTGAGGTACAGAGAAATGAATCACTTGCTTTAGGCCATACTACTAAGTGTTTGGGAAGGAATGCAAATCCAAGCAGTCAGACTCTATAACCTGAAATTAGACTCTTAGCCATAATACTACACTGCCTATAAGTTGAAGTTGAGTCAAACCTGAGACTGTCAAGTGTGATAGCAGATACTTCAGTGGATGAGTGGAGTAGAATCAATTGAGAAACCAAGGCAGACAGGAAAGAAAGACAGTAGCTTGGCATCATGAAAATTGGCCAGGGCTAGTAGGGTCCTAAATACATAGTTACTAAGGAGGGACAGACAACCCTAAAGCAAGTTACAGTTTGATGTGGGGCTGTATGTGGCATGGGTAACAGGATTTCTGGATCAGAATCAATGCTGTAAACTAGAGTCATATCAAGCAAGAACTTACAATGCCAATGTTGATGCCAAACTGTGTAACATGGAACTAGAGATGCTTCAGCTCATTTATTCTACAGATATAATAATAAACAAAAAAATAAATCAATTGTAAGTGACCCAGAAATGACATAAATGATAGAATTACTAGATAGGACATTAAAACAGTTAACTGTGTTCTGTATATTCAAGAAGCTAGAGGAAAGTTTGAATATGTTAAGTAAAACATGAAAAATATAAAAAGACACAAATCAAATTTCTCTATATGAAAACTACAATGTATGAGATGAAAAATATACTGAACATGGCTAATGGCAGATTTGAAATTATAGAAGAAAAATTTAGTAAATTTCAAAAGATAATAAAACTATTCACAATAATAACCAAAGAAAAAAGATACTGGGAGTAGGGGAGAAGATCAGAGTGTCAGTGAGATGTGAGCAAACTTCATTTGGTCTAATTTATGAGCATTTAGAGTCTCTGAAGGTCTGAAGCAGGGAACAGACCTGAATATTGGAACAAATAGTATCTGAACAATTTCCAAATTTTATAAGAACCATAACCCACAGAACCAAGATGCTTAACAAATTCCAAGCACAAGAAACATGAATAAACAAAATCAATGCACATGATAATAAAATTGCTTAAAATTTGTGATAAAGAGAAAATCTTAAAAACACACAGAGAAAAGATATTATATACATGATGAACAAAAATAAGGCTGACAGCAGATTTCTTGTTTGCAACAATGAAAGTGAAAAGACAGTGGAAGAACATCTTTAAAATACTAAAAGGGGGTGAACCCTATCAATATAGAAATCTTTTTCCAATGAAAATATCTTTAAAATATTAAGGAAAAACAAAGGCTTTAGATATTCAGAAGCTGAAAGAATTCATCACCAACAGATCTTTACAATAAGCAATGTTTAAATAAGTCCTTCCAGCAAAAGAAAAATGATACCAGTCAGAAGTACAAAGCACTAGAAATGGTAACTACATAGGTAATATAAAAATGTTATTAATTATTATTTAAATCTCTCTATCAGATGATTGTTTAAAGCAATATTTTTGTTTTTTTTTTTTTTTTTTTTGAGACAGAGTCTCGGTTTGTTGTCCAGGCTAGAGTGAGTGCCGTGGCGTTAGCCTAGCTCACAGCAACCTCAAACTCCTGGGCTCGAGCGATCCTTCTGCCTCAGCCTCCTGAGTAGCTGGGACTACAGGCATGCGCCACCATGCCCGGCTAATTTTTTATATATATATATCAGTTGGCCAATTAATTTCTTTCTATTTATAGTAGAGACAGGGTCTCGCTCTTGCTCAGGCTGGTTTTGAACTCCTGACCTTGAGCAATCTGCCCGCCTCGGCCTCCCAAGAGCTAGGATTACAGGCGTGAGCCACCACGCCCGGCCTAAAGCAATATTAATACTATATTATGGAGATAATATGTAGAAGTAAATATGTGCTGGAAATAGCACAAATGCCAAAAGAAGAGAAGAAAAAAGATTTTTATACTGTTTTTCAATGTTATAATATCAACTGAAAGTAGATAAGCTAAAGATATATAACAACTGCAGCAACCACTAAAATAATATGACAAAAAGTTATGGCTAGCAAGCCAAAAAAGTAGATAAAGTGAGATAATAATAGTAATTAATCCAAAAGAAGACAGGTGACAAGGGAAAGGAGAACACAGAACAGAAATAGAAAACAAATAATAAGATGGTATATTTAAAGTCACCTGTATCAATGATCACATTAAATATAAATAAACAACCCATTTAAAAGTCAGTCATTGATAATAGATAGATAAAAAGCAAGATCCCTCAATATGCTACCTATGAGAAGCCCACTTTAAATATAAAAACTTTTGGGGGATTAGTTTTATCATTGTATTTGTCAACTTAGATAATAAGGACCAATTCCTTTAAAGGCTACAAACGACCAATGCCTACTTGAATAAAAAAAAAAAAAAATAGGTAACCTGAATAGCCCAACATCTCTTAAAGAATTCAAATCCTTCCCATAAAGAAAACTTCAGGCCCAGATGACTTCACTAGCTTCACTTGGAAATTCTACTAAACATTTGAGGAAAAATATTACCAATTCTATACAATCTCATCTGGAAAATAGAAAAAGAGGGAGTACTTTCTAATTGATTCTAGAAGTTAGCATTACTCTGATAATGAAAACTAGACAAAGACATTATAGGACAAGA